CTGAAAAGGTCATACAATTGGTTCAGATGGATGGCAAAGGGTGGTTTGCCAATCAAGTACCTGGACACTGACACCTCCACGCTGACACCGGCCGAAGTTCAGCACATCAAGACCCAGTTGGAGAATGCTCGGGATCGTCTCCTTGAACGTATCAAGCGTGCTGAGGCCGAGGAAGAGTGGGTCACCAATGAGATTTCGGTTTGGGAGGAAATTGTACAGCAGTCTGCTCTTATTGACCTAATGAGGTATCACAAGAACCGGTTTTCAGCACATAGAAACCCAGGTGGAGAAAGCCCGGGATCGGGTTCGTCAAGCCCCCCGTCTCCTTGAACATATTGGTGCTGAGGCCGAGCAAGTTTGGGTCGGATTTCTAATTATATATATATATATATATAAAACAGGCCCGGTCACCCAGCACAGGACAAACACCATGTTGTAAAACATTGCCGGCCAAGGCAACAACCGTCCCAGGGTCATAAACAAGGCTAAACCCGAGCCCGGCTAAGTGACACCGGCCTCCTGTGTAGTTTCCGATGGTGAGCAACAAGTCAAAAGACTCCCTATACCCCTTTAGATCTCGGTGATCGATCATCTCTCGGTTCAGGATGACTGAAAGACCGGTGAAGGGAGTGGCCCAAATGCGAAGAGCAATATTGATAGGATCGTCCAATGCCTCGGCATGATTGGCAAGCTTCTCGAAGGTGGCTAAACTGGACTCAAAAAGATCGGGTTGTATGACGGCATAGATTGCACCAACAATTGCATTGGCCAATAGGACATTCTGGAGGTAGGTTGAATTGGCAGGTTCCTGAATATCGGCTGACGCGCGCAGTGGATCCTCGGGACCTTCATGTCCTTGAGAAAACCAGCTGGGTGATAAATTTACAATCCCAGTGACCCCTTCATTCTCAGGGTGGTGATCCCGCCAACTCCCATTACTTCTCTTTTTGGGGCTCAAAGAACCTGTGTGATCCCAAATAAATGTCTAGTAAAGTGAGGAAAGTCTAAGGGTGTAATGAAGTGAAAGTAATTACCCGAAGCTGTTCTGAGAACATTTCAGGAAAGTACCAAAGTAAAATGTGACCCTGCCGGTCGGTTATATGGCACGGTTGATCGAGGTAGGGGATATCGGACCCGGCTGTTTCGTAGATCGGTGGGAATTGTGCCAAGAGTTTCTTCTCCAACTCCTCATTGCTTCCACTCTGTCTCGGTGACAAGTCCGCAGCATAGTCCCAGACGTCCCAAGTAGTCATATCTGTCCAAAACTTAGTGAAGATCGGCCGGCTAGAAGTGAGACATACATGAAGATTTGAATGCTTCTTCAAGCATGTTAATTACCCTTTCAACAGATGCTTGGGCCTCCGGCTCCAACCATGGTGGTGGAGCAGGACGAGGAACGCTTGGGCTATGTAAGGACCGCAACCGGCCTCTGAAGTATCGAGCTAGATCCCTTGTATATTGAAAGAAATCGGGGGCAGTCATGAACAAAAAAAAAGATTTTTGACACTTTTAACTGGCAAAACATGAGGCTCGGGCATGGATTTATTTATTACGTAGAACAGGGACGTCTGTCAACATGTCAGGGTCATAACTGCCATTAGGATAGGATCGTGGTCTTTCCTGTCTGGTTGCACCCGGCCTTTCAGATCAGTTCTGCTCATCCGGGCTTTCAAACAAGACTCGACATGAATTTTTTTTTTAAGTAAAAAGATACAGGTGGTAATGGTATGACGTATTAAGAGACCCGTGTTACGCCACATGCCCTTTCATAATAGGTGAAATGGGGGTTTGGATAGAGTAAAAAGGACGTACGGTAAGGTAACCCTCTCGCCGTCGTCATCGATGATGGTCAAGAGTATCGTCCCCTAATCACCATGTTAGTGGGAAAAAGGAAGTACAAAGGGGATTGCTCACGTCTGGCAACCTGCCGGTGGAGTCTATGGTTGCAAACATGAGGCCACCGCTACTCATATTATACCAGACTCGGGTTCCTTTCTGACGAATCATCAGCTGGTTACGACCAATGGAGATGTACAGAACCTACGGGGTAGGGGTTGGGTGGAGGGATACCCAACAGACTCCAGATTGTCATGGGGGTGAAGTTATTCATGTCGCAGATGAGGGGGGTGAAGATGGGTCCTTGAAATGCGAGAGGGTTTTTAAAGGGGGAAACACGGATGTTTTCAGGTTAAATTACAACCCTCGATGCAACCCTATATCAGAAGCATAAATGATGGCGGCACAGGCCTCGAGGCCAAATTGCAAAAAAGAGTTGAAAGAGTCATAAACATAAGCATGGCCGGGGATTGAACCTGGAAGCTGGGGATTGAACCCGGAAGCCAACTACCATTAGACCATGCTGGCTTCCAAAGATTGTTGGTAAATCTGTGAATTCTTGATTTCGTACTCCAATTGGTCTCATGTCCAGGCCCAGCTTGAACTGTAGTTTAAATGCCAAACAAGTCAGTGCTGAGTTTATAGGACCGGGTTCAATCGCACCTGAACAAGTATTCGACATGGTCATCAGCTAAGTTACATTTTTTTGCCGGACTTGGCCAGGCACCGGGTTGTCTTATACACCAGGTTCACCCCCCGAACAAGTCACTGCGCAGAATTTGTCCTTTTAACTGCTGCTATTAGAGTGACATGGTCGGCAGGTAAAAGATACTGACTGACATTGTCTTCAACATTGGCTTGGCCTAGTAGTTAAGCTGGGAGGTGTACGTAGTATATGTATGTATGCCCTGGGTTCAAATCCCGAACAAGTCATAGATTCGTGTTTTGAAAAGTTTTTTACTTACTGCAGGTAAAAGATACTGACCGACCTATGTATGCCGGTTTAAATCCTAAACAAATTTTTTACTTGCTGCTATTAGAATGACATGGTCAGCAGTTAAAAGATACCGACCAACATTGTCTTCCACCGTTGGCTTGGCTTAGTGGTTAAGCTGGAGGTGTACAGAGTGTATGTATGCCTGGGT